AAAGCAGACCGATGCTGCAAGGACAACTGTCAGCACCGATGCTCAGGAAACACTATAACAAGAAATATTGTCGTTATTACAAACTTAATGTTATTCTCTAATTATTTTTACCGTTGCTGCTTTTATTTTCAGTGATTTGGAATAATTTCTGAAAACATTATTCTTTGTCCAAACAGCAGTGTGTAAATTTTTAGTTAAAACAGTAAAGTGGGCTTGTATAACCCATGCCAGCTTTCTGGGGAAGCAAGACAGAAAAGAAAAAGAAGGAAAATTCAACAAGAAGGGAGAGGGGGATAACTCTAATGAATAAGAGTGGCAGGAAGAGAAAGATGTAGCGGGAGAAGAGTGACAGTCTCTCTCCCCCGGGGCTAACAGGGGCCGTCCTCCCTCGGCCTGTGACAGCCTTCCAAACAGGTACACCGTGAGATGATTTAAGGCGATAATAACCTCCACTTTGGCGGATGGATGATGCCTCTCCTGTGGCTGCTGATGCTTAATGAATGAAACATTAGTAAACACTACTAAAAACATGGTTAGAGAGCCTCTGCTGACAGCAGAGAAAAAAAAAGGTGAGTATGCAAATGTGTGCACACAAATACAGGCTCCTCTCCTCTTCTCTTTCAGGCTGGATTGTCCAATTCTTTCTACTCACCCATCACTTTTGAATAAAACATGAAAGAGAGAGAGAAGAGGACCTCAGGAGACAAATATGTATCTGTGAGTTCCTGTGTGCTCATGTTTGTGTTAGTTTGATTTTAGCTGCCACTGGACCAAATGATATGTGAACAGTGAGGTGTGCTGCCTGCAGACATGCACAGTATGACAAAGTGTTTTAACCGTAGACTGTATATACTATGGACAACTTGGTTCCACCTTCCGCCAGTATACAGATTTGAAGCCGAAAAGCTCTCGGTATTTCCGCGATTTTTCTCCATTTCCTGAAGCCAACATTAGCGTTGTACGCACTTCACCACTTGCGCAGTAGCATTGTACACGTTCAGCGGGAGAGTCGAAGAGAGTCGCTGTGATGACGCTCGGTTCAAACAACGTATCCCCTGGATAAGCTACGCAATCTTCATACACCCATAGGCTGTATCAAGTGTCAATCAAAGAAAACATGAACCCTCTAATAACTTTTAAAACGGAGCTGTACAGAAAAAAGAGGACTTGAGCACAAACTGGTCCTACAACATCACAAGCAGGGGGGAGGAAATTTATATTCCGTGTAATTCATTTTTAAAGTTTGTCCACAGCTCCATAGGGATTGATGAAGGAGGCAGGATTTATGACCTATACTGCAGCCCGTCACCAGAGGGTGCTGTTCTCGCGGTGGCTTCACCCAGTGAGGAGGCAGAAGGCATCCATTCTTCATACAGTCTATGGTTTTAACACAGAGACAAAAATACTGTCACTGCCCAACCTATGAGTTGAGACCGCAACTGAGACAGCAACCACTGTGGGTATATCCTTCTTTAGTACTTCCTTCATTACTTTTGTTCAATTTTAATAAAATCAGGTGAGAAAACACTTTCACAGTAGTTCTGAACGGCAGTAAAATGTCTGCAACAGCAATCCAGATGAACATACGGCATGATGGAGTTTTTGGACTCCCAGAAAAGATGAGTGTCTCTAAATGGGACAGGATGATTCAAAGTTAAAGACACAGATTAGGGTGACCATACCTCCTCTTTTACCCAGACATGTCCTCTTTTTTGAGGCCTGTTCAGGTGGAGTTTATAAAACCCTTCAAATGTCTGCGGTTTTGTATGGAAGTTTTGAGTTTGTGTTGCGTGGACCTACTGAGTTAGAAGCGCGTAAAAAACACTCGATCCAACCCGTAAAAATCTCAAATGAACTGCATGCGACTCAGTGACTCCGCCCCCGCGTAGTTGTGTCCTCTTTTTTGGGAATTCAGAATATATTCACCCTAACACAGACAGCAGAGGATAGAGAGGACAAGTTTGCTTATGTATATTGTATCATTTAAGCCACGCCCCTCCTTACTAGGCATGTGTGTACTCTCGTTCACAGGCCTGCAGTAACCTCCACACCTCCTCTGCACAGACACACAAACATCGGCGTGCAGGTCTCCACAGAAGACCAACTATAAACTGGAAACCTGCTCAGTGTGCAACAAGGTCGACACAAACAGCAGTTTACTGTCACCAAGGGGAAACTCCGGAGTCATATTGTTGGCTAACAACACTAAAGAGGACAACAGCGAGTCAGAGGGGACACAACCAGAGGAAGTGCTCACTCACCTTTTTCTAATCATGGCCATGTCTTTGGCAGAGATGGAGGGACACACAAGGACACACAAACAGGCCAGACCTATCTTTGACTCTGAGAGGGATGGTGAAAAGCAAACAAGGGCAGAGAGGGTGTGCAACAGTTTGGCACATAAGGAGTGGACGTGGGGAAAGCAAGAAAAACATTTACTCACTGGTTAGCTGCAAAGTCCTTGAATTATAAGACATCCTCTTCAATCTCTACCAGGGTCGCTAACTTGTTAATGTGAGTGTCCCACCTTATCAGATTAATAACTTCATGTAATCCTGGTTCTAACCACCTAAATTTACTCCTCCTGGTTTCACCCAAAAATGTCAGGGGAAGTATTTGATGATACAGACTAACCACAGATGGATGTTAGAGTCTGTAATTAAGCTGAATTAGCATCAGATCCATTCATAACATCAAAGATGGAAGATAAATTCCCCCTCAACATTGATGGTTACTGTAATATTCACATGTATAACACAGTGTGACTTCAGAGTCAAATTAAGTTCACTGGGCTAAATTATGCCAGGCTGGATTTACCCATTTATATGACTCTTTTTATGGCTGATTCAAAGCCGCCTAGCTAATCAACGCTCTATTACAAAGCTTCTCCATGGCGGCGCTTTGATTGGCTTCAATTTACATAATGGTAGAATGCTGAGAGAGTGAGGCCTCAACTGCTTTCCATTTCTCTGCTGAGCCGATTAGATAGGTTTATGGATTTGAAACATGTGCGAGGCATTGATTTTATTTATTTCATTATTCATTCATTGGTCTATTGCACCCGGGAACAAGTGAGTTTGTCGGTCTGTGACAATCATGGGGGGAACATTTCCCCTGTCCTGAACTACGCTTAGTGCTGGAATCCAATTTGTGTTGGGAATGAGAAAACTGTTTCATCTGCAGGTGTGGGCCCCTGAAAGAGACAGATTATAACACATGCACACACACACACACACACACACACATGACTCATGAACACACAACAGAAATAATGGTGACTTGTTACTGCCATGTTATTTGTACATTCAAGGACAAAACTGTTCCTCCTTTTCTGACCTCTGATACAAATATTGTCAACATTTATTGGCGTAATCATCCGCTGCTTTCCTACACTCATTAGACAAAGTTTAACAACCTTCATCCATGCGACAACTTCATAGTACTGATCTGAACTTACATTTTAATAGTAATATTAATTGTGTTTTAGCATGTTAGCTCCCTGATATAGTTAGCACAAAAATGGAGTGCAGTCTGATCTGAATGGTTTATAGTTTTGCAGAAATCAGAACAACACTTTGCAGGGTTTTCTTTGTTTGTTTTTGTTTTTTCTTTCTTTTTTTTTTTCTAAACAATATTATCACGATACTTGGGCCATGACACAATATTATTGCAATTTTTAACATCTTGCATTACAGTGAGTATTGCAATACAATATACTGCGATTTGTACAATTTTTTCAACTGTTTGGCTTATTTAGCATTTGTCTTTCCTTTATGTTTGTTTTTACACTGTATTTTGTTTCCATATAGCACATCTTGCAAACCCTATATATATATATATATATATATATATATATATATATATATATATATATATATATATATATATATATATATATATATATATATATATTTGTTGCACTAACTTTCTCCTGCTCTATGACGTCACCTCTGCCAACCTCACTGGACAAACTGTTGATTTTAATTTTCCATTATCATAGATTTGACTTCATATTAGCAATTAATTTGAAAAATCGATACTTGGTCAATGAGATGATACGATATATCACCAGACAAAATATCGCAATACTATGCTATATAGATTTTTTCTCCCATGCCTAGTAGCTTAAAAGAACAGATAAGGCCCAGTCATTCCTGATACAGCAGCCTCTTTCTCTTAGATATACTGTAGTTTTTGGCGTATAGTGGACAAGTAAAGGAAAGTGGGTTAGAAAGATAATATTTCAATAACACAGTGGTTTAAGCATAAAATAAAATGCGTGTGTGCGTGCATGTGTGTGTGTGTCTCACAAGCCGCCAGCGGCACCCCAGCATGAATCTCTGCAGTCAAATGATTTCGCATTCACTTTTCTCCTTGGCTGCCCGTGCTGCCATTTACACAGAACAGCAACAGAGGACAGTCATACATGTACACACACATTACATTGCACAACCCAAACTTAGAGACATGATACAGTGTCAGTGTATGAATTACACAAAAGTGCAGTCTTTGATTGTGTTGTTTGGGGGGCTAAAAGATTCATGAATAAACAAATAATGTAAAGATACGTCCAGATGCAGTCACAACACAGTAGTCAAAGGGACTTTTGTCAAACTTCATAGGAGCAGTCAAAAGAATAGCTGCTGGCATCTTTTTCCAGCATAACATAACATCTAATTTGTGTGCATAAAAACCACTTCAACACCTTAAGCTGTTTGTTTAAATGCTTTAATCTGCTTTATTAAGATCTCTGCATAAACACACACACAAAAGCACACATCCAACACTTCCAACACACAGCATTAAAGGTGGACGCCCCTAACGAAGCACCTATCCTCTGGTCTCCTTCTCATGAGAATGCCTGAGAGTCAAGTGTTAGAGGATATTAAAACAGAGGGAAAAGAGCAAGAAGATCAAGATAACTGGAGTAGCAGCAGAGCTGCAGGCACAGAGCCTGACGTGTTTCTGCCTCTCGCTCTTCCCCTCTCATCTGACGCCACATGAAGCCCAGCGCAGGTAACTGCACTTTTTAATGATGCCATTTGCCTAATGCCTTCTTGAGCTTGTCAATCTATCTCGCATTATCCCTCATCTCGCCTGTCTTGCAGTATCACCAGCACCCCTTGACTCCGGCACACCAAAGAGCAAAGAGCCTCGCCTGAAACATCGCTGCAGCGGCCCATTAGGAGGAGCATCCTCCAGACTAATTGGTGGAAGATGCAACGTAAGAGACATGCAGGAAACAACAACAAGCAACAACAAAAACAGGGAGAAAGAGGACGGTGATGGGCATATCTTTTATCCTGCTGTTTCCTGACTTCCCCTTTTCTGCTGATCCAGGAGGTTCTACTGGGGCACAAATTGGGAAGAAGGAGTCAAAGAGAAAGAACCATAAGGCATAAAGTGCCAGCTTCATGTTCAACCTCCCTTTGTTGCGCTCTTTCAGTCACTTTTTCTATCAATTCACTGACTTTGCTCTGGTCTAACTTCTTTGTAGACTCACATTTGACCTTTTTGACCCCACCTCCTGCAGCTTTTATTTCTAGTCGTACTTTAATTCTCATTATTACTATACTTATTGCAAATATTCCTTTTTTACTTCTATTATTCTGATTAATGGCTGATAGGCAGGTTACTTTGCAGTCATCTCTGTATGTCTGCCTCTCCTTTTACCCCACTTTCTCTGCAAATCTGACTCTGCCCAGAATGTATTTGAGGCACCTTTACCTGAACAGGAAAAACCAACCCTCTGGATGCATAATAACTAACTGACTTTGCATATTTCTTCATTTGCAAAATAACATGCAAAGCATTTGTTTCTACAGCCCATGCAGGGCCTGTGACTCTCAACAATAAACACACACACACCGATACAGCTTTAACCCACGCAGAGCACATGACACACATCTCCAGCACACATATCCCGACAGAGGCTTTTATGACAGGGCCGGGTGACATGAAGTCCGCCGGATGAATAGTTTGATAGCCCCGGGCGGGTGAGGGGGAAGGATAGGCCGTAAATAGGATTGAAGTTTAAATGGAATAATGCGGCCAGGAAAAGAGCTAAGGCCTGGAGAGGGGCGAACCCAGAGGTAACATGGAGGTGACAAGTTCGCAGGGAGAGCGGCTGAAGCAATAATAAGACTTTTTTTTTTTGGATAGATGAAAGTGAGATGAAAGGAGGAGATGTTTAAGACAAAGTGAGAATCTGGTTCATGGTCGAAGTCAGGAGTGCAGGAATTGTTCGTGTAACTCTAAAGCTGGGTTTTGTTTGAAATAACACTAACACCGGTACCTTTAAAATGACACCATGACTAATAGATAATGTCATGAGTGCCTGATTCAAACCAACTCAAGATTCTGGACTGATGTGTGTTATATGTTATATGTGTGCGTTAGTAAGCAGAGGAGTGTAACACAGCATCTCATAAACAGGGGGAAATGGAGGCGTGAGGTCCACATTAAAGCTCCCTTGAGGAACTTTTGGTTTGTGTCAGCTTTGGCGCCCCCTGTGGAGAAAACAATCTTTATTGTGAATATTGTCAGAGGAAATTTTAAAAATCAAGCTATTTCTCCAGCTGCTGGAAGCTTTAGCATTAAGATATAGTTTATTTTGAGTGTGTTTATACCATGTCAGCCATTCACATTATTAGGTTCGGATGCTAAGCTGTGTAGTAGCCCAAAGAGAGCTGATAATAAACGGTGATTTCCACCAGTATGTCAGCTTTATGTAAGCTTGTGGCTAATCTGTGAGAACTCTGAGAGTGAAATAAAAAACTGAAATTAAATAATACAAAATTGGCTCATCTTTAAACTTAAATAGGAGGATAAACAAAGTGCAGTACAAATTAAAGCTGTTCATATTTCATTAAGATAGAGTTCTTGTTTGGATTGTGCTGAAGTCTGGAAATCAAATAAGGGGACGGATGATATTCATGACAAAGATTAATGATAGAAGAAATGACTTGAATGTTTTGACAGAGGACGGTGCGGTTGTCCTTCTGAGCTGATGAGTGGACAGCCTGGTGCTGGAGTATGGGGTGATCCCAGTAGGCCCACATTAAGAACAGAGCAGTGCCTTCGTTACGAGTCATTAAACAGCCTTAAAGCTGACGGCATGAGCACTGAGAAGATTAATAAGTATCCAACAAGAAGGCCATTTGCTCAATGTTTGTGTAATAATTGTATTCAATAGATACCGTGTATCTGACTGGACAATCCACATAACATCTTTGTCACACATCCTTGTTTTTTTAAGTTGCAAAGAGGGGGGAAATATAACAAACATGGGAACATGATTTAAAATAATGTGATGCTGTGAGTGGGGAATCCTTTCATTATTAGGAGGATTTAATCAGTAAATCCCTTTAAGCATATCAACTTTACAAAATTCTGTCTAGAAGTCAGTTTTTAGTTTTATATATCCCCATGCTCACCCTTTTATTAGTAAAACAACGGCAGCCTTTGAGGACAAAAAGCTCCACTGATGCATGATAATAATAAAACCCTCCTTAAGAAATTATTGCCAATATTATATTCTTTTTCTATCAAGTCTATCAAAATGTTACCAAAATTACACACTGCCCCTTTAAAACTGTTTAATTTTTTCCAAATGCTCATCTGAATTTTAAACTAGTGTTAAATTTCGATCATAGTTAAAAAGACAGGGTTTTATTTTTGACATCATTGACTTTATAATACAAATCTGTCAGTGTAGTTGTTTACCTCCTTTCTTCTTCTCTGAGTAGATAAATAGCAGCCTCAGTAAACATTACGAGCCCTCCCCCAACAACTGAGGCCTGGGATAAGCTTCACAGTAAATTAGCCACAATTAGCGCTGTAGCAGACATTGACAAGACCATCCCCCGAATGCTATTAAATGCCCACCCAATCATATCTGAGTTAGTACAGTCCACTGGATCATTTCTCAAATCAATGATCTCAGTAAGCGCCGGCTAAAAAGGCCTCCGATGCCTGATCAGCTGGATGTGGACAATTAGATTGGAGTTAGGGGACGGCCTTGATTAGCACTTCGCTCCAGGGCAATACAAGTCATTTATTATGCAACACTGCACCCAACCACCTTGGCACACAATGACAGCGGAAACTTCAACTTCACAGCACACAGGTTAAGCCTGTTATATTTAAGTAATCACTTAACTGAAGACATTTCAAAAGAACTTTTAAGATTTATTTTGATTAAAACGTCTAATTTCAGGATTGCTTTATCACCTTGTAGTGAGGGTTTCTTCTTATGACTGGGTGTTCTTGTTTTTTTCTTACTTTAATATAGTTATGGTTGGGCTGTCAGACTGATAGCACAGACGTACTCAAGAGTATAACATCACTCATTTGTTGTAATGTGAAGTCTCAGCTCCACTTGCCCCTTGCTCGCTCACCCACCCATGCCACCCACCGCTACCAGGTAATAGCTCTGGTGCCCAAGCAGCATCAGCCAGTCCTCACCTTCATGAAATTAGGCATAAAATATTAATAGAGGCAGATTAGGTTTTAAAACCAGACTAATGTAGCATGAAATGCTGCAGCCATGCTCTGGTGGTCAGAAGCCTTGAAAACTGACCTATTTTATACTGACTGAATCTGAAGTCAGCTAGACCTTGATACAATGCACAAACACATATTCATGATCATACATGGGGATATTTTGGATCTTGTGTGTCTTTTTGATGTGCCCAGACCTGAACGAAACATCCTTACTTAAAGATGACAGAAACAAACTAATGAAGAGAAGAAGTTGTTGAAGTTGAGAGATGAAAACAGATCAGTTTGACACCTACGAACATTTTTTTAGTAAGATAAGCAATTAGCTCACTCAAATATATCTGAATACCATATTTCACCAGTTAGTAGCCCGGGCGTTTAATACGCAAAATCAGCTTTGACCCCAGGAGTTTAAAAGAACCAGGCGGCGATTCGCTGCAGACCTTGACTTGCAGTTACTGTCCAAAATATTTTTTAATACAAAACTCACAACTCCAAGATCAAACATAGTGTCATACTTTTTATTTTTCTTCCTTCTTATATTATCATTTATGTCCATTTGCTGTCCAATCTCCTCCATGTTGACCTGTCCTCCGGTGTGTGAAGGTGGGGCGACAAAGTGGCGCGCTCCGAATCGTTCCCTTTGACACTTCTGTTTTTTGTCAAAATAAGAGTTAGTCGGTCATTTAAGACTACGGTACACCCTTTTTCTGACGTTAGCTTGTCCTCTTTTTTGACAAAAAAACAGAAGTGCCAACTCTTTACTTCTGCAAAATTAATATTGCAAATAATCGCACTAGCGTTTAAAAGAACCAGGCGGCTATTTGCGGCCCGGCGATTAATTGGTGAAATACGGTAATTCAAAATATTCCAAAACATACTTTAATACCTACAAATTGATCCATGTGACATTGTTTTTCCTCGTGTTTGGATTATGGATAACAGTTAAAGTCAGCTGAACGTTGATTGTTTCATAAGTTTGCAGCATTTCTACATGATTGAAACAGACATTGTCCATGTTAGATAAATCCACTTCTGGGAAAAATAGTCAGTAAAATAGATCAGAGAAGACTGCAGATGCTATCGCGGCAGTTCCCCCAAAGAGGTCAAAGGTTATCGATCCTGATGGTTTTATTAGTCAATGGATTTTAAGTATGCTCCACTTTAGAGAGTGGAATCTGCCCCATGAAGGGAAAGTGAACAAAGACAGATAGAGGCAGTGAAGCAGGCAACAGCACTGTCGGATGTTACTGTTTATACTCTCCATCACACACACACACAAAACACACACATGCACTGCAAACACGCCAACACACACACACACAAATGTGGGATGACACACACACACACACACCCTCAGCAGCAGACAGCAGGGCCCTGTCTCTGATCACGGCGGAGCATGGATCTGCAGCGTCGTGAGAGCAAACGATTTGAGGCATATGTCAGGTCCTTGTGGATTCAAAACAAAGCACTGTCAAGAACGCTCTGCCTCGGCCGTGCAGCCTGCTCCCTGCTCCGCTGTGCTCTGCATGCGGCAGGCGATACAATCTTCCAAGTCCAAGACGAAACCCATCATTGTCCTTTCACATCGTTCTGTTCTTTGCCCCTACAGACTGCTGCAGACTCCGCGTGTGCTGCCCCCGTCTGAGCGGCTGCCGCAGATTTGCCTGCGAGGCTTGAGAGGGGGCCACGACACCCAGGAGACTGAGTCCATTCACATTACGCACTGAGAGAGGAGCTGCATGGGATGGGAGAAGGGAAGGAGGAGAGGGGAAAGACAGGGAGGAACCAAAACAAGAGAAAAGTGTGCTTTTTGTGTGTGAGGAGAGACAGATTGTGAGGTTTTTAAAAGAATTAGGGAAAATTATCTGTATAATCAGGACTTAGCTAATGACTATACATCCTAAAATGATGAATTGTGCCTTTAAAGTTTGAGTGCATTATCAGGGTGAATGCCTGCTTTCTGTTTGACTCTATCCAATTTTATTCAAATGAGCGAAAGACGCCCATTCATCATCACAATAAAATGATGTGCAAATATAAATAAAGGAATTTATGGTGCAATTAGCGGCTACCAAAAATATTATGGATTAAGAGATTCAAGCCCCTCTAATGGCATCTTCTCTCTGTTTGGATCATAATGGCAGTGCGCTGCTTAAATTAAAGAGCTCTTGATAAAAGGGAATTAAATAATCTCTAATTGCAGTATCATAATAGTCTTAAACGTCTAATTCAATTATCAACACAAGTGGTGTGAAAAAGTGGTGGAGAGAGGAGAGGGAAATCTTATTGAACACGCAGTGCCATGTCAAATGAGTCTCCCCATTATCCCGAGTCAGAAAGTATTTCCAGCCTGCCCCTGTTCAAAACAAAAATGGTAAAAAAGAGCCTTTTTTTTTTTGGCCTGCTCGCTCCAGGGCAGTGTTAGACTCTACAGTTTGCTTTGTATGGAGCTGGCTATCTGCAATAATCATAATCCAACATAAGCAAATAAGCAGACTCTCTATAGGCGACAGAACCGAACAGAACTGTCACGTTCCTCTCTTACTATATATGAATTAAGGCTGTCAGACAATTATGTTTTTCCATCGAAATTAATTGCTGAATTTTCCCGGTTTATCACAATTAATTGCATTTTTTTTAATTACATATTTTGCTTGTGAAAACAGTTTCATGTCCATAATAACAGTCAGTATGTTTGCATGCACAGCTAAGTTAAGTAACAGTCAAAGCTCAATTAGGCGGTTTAACTGGACTACTGTCCTTTTACCACTGACAGAAGCATGTCTACCTCCACTACTGTAGGTGGCGCTCCCTTTCAGCTTGTTGCTATACAGTTAGCGAAACCGGCAAAATGGGGCGTCACTTTTGCAGCTCTGTGCTGTTTGTTACGAAAGTTTCGTTATTTGCATCCTTTCTGTCATGATATGTTCATTTAATTTAGTTTTTCTCTGGTTTTATTATATGAGTGTATTTTCTTTGTGTTTTTCTGAGTGTTTCTGTTCCCCATTGTTAGTGCGTTTGACCCTGTTTCCCTTCTGTTCTTTGTGTTTTATCCTCTATATCAGTTTTCAGTGTTTCCTGTTTTATTTTGTAGTAGTTGATTCCTTGTGTTTCTAGTCTTGTTTTTACTTCCCAAGTTTTCCCTCCCTTCGTTAATCACATGATGAGTTTCACCTGTGTCTCGTTAGCCTCACCTGTTGCTCGTTTCCCAGTGTGTATATAGTCCCTGTCTTCTGCTCTGTCCTAATTGGTTCATTGAATGTATGTAGATGTGTGTTCATGTCAGCCTGTTCCCCGTAATCTTTTATCCGTGAATCCTTTGTCTCCTGGTGTTTTTTTCCCTGTGTCTTTTGTTTGGATTTTTCAGTTGGACATTTAAAGTGTATTTTTGTTGCTTTTCATTTAGTTATTTTTAAATAAATCCTTTTTCACTTCAATTGAGATGTAAACATGATGGCATTAGGCATGTGTCCTAAATCATCCATCTTGGCACAGCTGCGTTATGAATAAAAAACTGAACATTTTTTAAGTAACGACACCAAGACAGACATTTATCAGGGATGAAGACAGAAAGGATTTTAAGTTTCTTGTTAAATATAGAGGAAATGATCAGGCCTAGAAATGCTTTCAGTTCTTAATCAAATATCTCCATCACTTGAACTGTAACCAAAGTCTTTCTATCAAATGATGTCAAACATAGAAATAAGAAAATATTCACAAATACAGACACAGTCAATCATCCCTCAACACTCCCTCTCCCACAAACATGATGGATGTTTTCTCTCTGCGCCCCACAGAGAGACGTATAATGGAGTTAAAACAAAGACTCTTGGTTTCATACGGACCTTTTCTCCAGACCCCTCGAAAATGACTCTCATAATCTGTCACAGCGGGCAGGAAGGATCCACTCAGGACTTGTCGCTCCTTGAACCAACATGGCTGCCCAGACTTTCCCTGTTTATTTATCAGTCTACAGTTTCCTACAGACTTACAAATGAGCTTCAAGTGCTGATATTTGTCAGGCAGATGTGTGAAAAGCCAGTTTGTCCGACATCCAGACAACTTTACCCCCCTTGCTAAACATGCCACTAATGGTATTCTTCTTCTTTGGTCTTTAGTATGTAAAACTGATATGATAGATGATCATAGGAGAAACAGAGCAGGCTGGAACACAGTCGTGGTGGTAATACACGACGCCTGGTTCACAACAGAGTCAACCCAAGGCCTCGGCTAACGACTCCTTGCCAAGTAAATGATGATAAACACCAGCCCTCCTTCCACCAGTGAGTGCGCATTACCTAATGATGTTCAATGGCAGTGGTGAGCGGTAAAGACAACAAATATATTATACCAATGCATCTTAAATGGGCATCCCTAAGGAAACCCATCTGAATTGTAAATTCATGAACGGGTCTCATTTTTCATATGCAGCAAGGGTAAAATCCCAAACAACTGTGTACTTAATGTGCACAGTTTTTTTTTTTTTTTTTTTGCAGTTTTACATCTTTATAAGCACTTACTTGTGTGTGTGTGTGTGCATGTGTGTCTGTGTTTCTGTGTGTGTTTATTTATATCAAATGTGCAGCACTTACCCGTTGTCAAGAATAGACCTGCTTTAGATTGATGTTTTTATGCAGCAGCATGCCACAGGTCAAACTTTTAACCATTTGTAAGCCTCAAAAGGTGGAATATTTAACACATTTGACAAATTACAAATTTCTTGTCACATCCTAAATCCTTGTGTCTTAGACTTTAATTTATTAGTTTCTGCCTTACATTAAAAGGTAGTATTATCTTTATTAATTTTTAGTCCTGCCACTTTATTTTTAACGGTTTCTCTCAGTTTTTCCATCACGCTTCTCTATTTCAGCGGCTGTGGTTTTGGTAGAGAGCCGCTTCCCTTAAACCACAAGTTTAGTCTGGATCCATTTCAGTGTATTTTAGGGATTTTCAAGAAGACTTGTCCACTCAGGGGGCCACAAAGACCCTTCTTTATACAGAGGCAAGGCTATTACCCGGAACCAGAGACCTCAATATTAAAGAACAGCTGGCATCAGGTCCATTACTTCCAAATCAAGCAGCCTTTGAGAGACACAAATTGTAATGGACGGCAAGTCAGGTAGGGAATGAATGCTGGACAGACTTAAAATGACTGTGAGACAGATACCTGGCAGCTGCTTTGGTACTGAGTCAGGTAGAGCCTGTTGGATGGAAGAAAGTAGGAGGACAAAAAAAGCAAGTGTCCCAAAAGTGGAACATGATCTGATAAGCCTAAAAAAAAGACTGGGGACTGGTGACATCTGTGCCAACGGTCTTTCAGCAGCTCCAACTTAGACTGCCCAGATCAGCAGGTATCCTGGGAGAGCTGGAATGGGGCATGTACACACCATATCGCACACACATAGACCACACTCTCACTATAATCTGAACAATGTAAATGATCTTTTCTGTTGATTAGAGCACACATGAAAAACTACAGCACCGAAAGTGATTTCTTGGAGCCTCTTCTTTCCGTTGTCAGTGTTTTCAGAAAATGTTGAGTCCCTGAACTCTGATCATTCACAAGCCAATACAGATCTTCAGTCACTTACCTCAGATCAAGGAAAAAGAAAGAAAAGGAGACAGAGAGAAAAGAAAACTGTTTGATTCCCTCTGGGCCCTCCCATACTCACTGTGTTGTAGGGACTGTGGATAAAAGCATCCAACAAAGGGCGCCAACATCTGCTCCGTGAGTCAAATTTGAGAGAGGTTGAACCTATTCTATTTCTGAAATGGTGAACTGGAGGTTGTCTGGGTGGGTGTAGCACTGAGAGCCTCTAATGGGGAGGTATAAGTGCATCTCACACACACACACTGTGCCTCATGGCTCAGCAGTCAAACACTGAAAAATAGCTTAGTAAATAAAGGAGAGTTACCAGGGCTGCACATGAAACATAAAGTAGAAAGGAATAAGCGATGTACTGCGTAATTGTCACTTTTTTTCAAGTGTCATGTTTGTTTTAATTCTTTAAGTGAATATAAATAACAGGAGTCAATGGCTGTTTACACATTTTAGATAAAATAACAATCACTGAAAATGATATTATAAAGAATATATAACTCATAGTAGTAAAGTAGTTTGAAACTGCACCTTTTTTTGTATTTATTGACATATGGAGCATGTAATTTTTGCCATACCCATACATACAATCTATGAAAATCTCCCACAAGTGCTCTTAAAAAAGTATTATTTTTAAGTGGAGTCTGGATTTTGAGTGGTAATCATTATACCCAATTAAGCTTAAATAGTGTATCTTACAATGCTTTGTGAAAGTAGTGCACAAACAGAGGTCACTATCAAAGCAAAATACGCCATTGTGAATACAAGTCAAAAAATCTACTTTCAAAATCTGAGCACTGGTTTTGCTCTTTCAGTGTCGGTCAGTCAAACCGAGACACTAATGCAGAAGAACTACCACATCTGCAGTACACATACAAGACATACTCAAGAACTCTGATTGCATTTCCATGAAGTAATATTCATAAATTTTCCGCTGCACTCAGCGATCGACTCGTCAGGGCTCCCTCACAAACAAGCGGCTGCTGGAGGAGAGTGGGTGAGTTGTGTTTGGTCTCTTTGCCAAAGAAATCTGGCAAGGCTAAAAAGATGTTTGGTGGCTAGTACTGTGGCTGAGACCTCATATGTACTGTTGATGAAGTTAGGTGCTGTTCTGAGCATTATTTGTGGCTACAAGTGACTTTTTGGTTGAGGTTTGTGCATGGAGAAGTAGACCGCTGAGTATTGCTATTGTGCGGTCATTGCTGAATTTGGTATAACTAGAGAAGCAAGCAGTCAGCAACATTCATCTCTCGAAGCTCCTCTATGGTATGTCTGTGATTTCCAACTTTTACATTTGGATGAATTGTTCCAAAAGCTGCACAAACACCTAACTCAACATTTCTTCACTCCCTCATCCTGAATGTGTCTCTATGCACCACAGTCATGTCAACTTAAAATGGGTTTGTCCTCTCAGATTTTTGATCTGCTGCAGCACCGTTGAAGCTTCAGCCACCTTGAATGTGCTGAGTATTCTCATCTGACACTAGAAGCTCAGAGTAGCACTCATTCACATGCATGTGGGCACCTTCATATTTTTTACGATTCCCAAAGTTGAAGGTATGTCAAAGCACGACCAAGGGGCTAGCTGCTAGCATGTCACCAGGGTGGACACTCGCTGTCACACACACCCACACACACACATTGCAACACACACAGACGCAGACAGATGCCTAGGCTATGCCCTTTCTGCTTCTATCTGGAGGCTGTATGACAGACAAAGACCTAACACTGTGGAAAAGGTTTGAGCCTTTCTGTCACTGATATACGTGTAGGAAATCTGCTGAGGCACAGAAAGAGTCCTGTAGAGAAAAGAGACACACACGGGAAATGTGAGTGTGCTCGTCTTAGTGACGCATGCAGGATGTGTAATATGGAGTTACTTTATTCAAGGGAGTAGGTTTGATTTTGACATTGGTGGGGACACAAAATTGTCCTCCTGAAAGTTTGTTTTTTTGCATTTGCAATCATAATTTTGCCACTTTGACTCCTAAAGAAGTCTCTTACATTCCGTTTTCTTTTCTTTCAAATTCTATACCACACACACGCAAACCAACATAAATACAAATGTAAATATAAATGACACCCCTAATATTAAAATCTGTTCAAGCTGACATGACCCAGGCACAATATGCCAAACATATTGACAACTTACACTTGGCAGTTGCAGAAAACATGCACTATCTCCCATCCAGTCCAACTAGCAGGTAACTTTTACAGGCAGATGTAGTGATAGTGGGGACAGCCAATCACATGTACGTAAGCGAGAAAACAGCAGCCGATATTTAGGTTAGAGGCAGGACTTCTAGGAGAGACCGACTGTTAACCCTTGGTGTGCCATAATTATTGATTGAACACTATGGACAGCGCTTGTATTGATAGGGACTATAATGTAGCAGATAATTATTGGTGGGGATGTGTCCCTAGCATCCCTACCTAAATCTACGCCCTTGACTTTATTCATGTTGAGTAGGCCGATTTGTTATATCCATCAGATTTTTAAGGACATCATTGAAACTGGAGCCACAAGTGTCAAATTTATAAGAATTAACTGACATCTTTCAGCCAATCAGAATTGAGTATTTATCCAGACCATATTAAAACTTGAATTAATGTGACCCGTCCATCATGCATCATTAGGACGTGATAAAGTGATTCTCTAGAGAATCATTTTAATTACTCATGTCGACATGCAACATGAAATAAAAGGCCCACATAATCAGAGGTCTCTGTTCTCAGAGATGCCTCAGGTGAAAACCAGTAAACAACATCATGTGTAGGGACAATAAAGGGTTAATGAGAGGATCACCATGAGCACCAGTCCATGCCAACATTTACCCCTTCCCTTAAGGATTTCCTGTCGCTCCATCTTTATTTTTTTCTGTAACTTTCCTCTTATTTGCATCTCATTCCCGAACTTTCCTCTTGTTTGTACAGCATCAGACCTCCCTTATCACACCCCTCTTTTATCCGGCCCTGGCGGCCCCTGGGTCTCCTCCACAGCCCTGCATGGCCCCTTCACACCAGTCAGCCAGCAGCCATCTGTCTCTTCATCCGTCTCTGTGCCCGGCTCATTTGGCCGCTCAGTAGGACGGTGTGGATTCTCCAGCGCTGGTGAGCTCTTCTTATCAGACCCATGTGGAGGGCCTAATTAGTCGGTGGGCTTTTGGAAGCGCCTGGCGGGTCCTGGAGCAGCCTGACATCCAACGTAGTCAGGGTGAAGAGGTGGCCAGCAGGGCCTAAGAGGTGGGCGCTCGATCCCCTCCGGCTAGGCAAAATTAGAATAGAGTGGATTGATATTAGGGGCATGAATATTCCACTGTTTGATAATGAAAGACAGTGGTGTCAGAAGAGTTTCCTCTTGTTGGTTATAGTCATTTCTTTTTGTTCACTAAGCAGTAATTGGAAGCTGACGTCGTCTGTATGGTAGAGAAAATTATTGCCCTTGAGCTAACGCAGCATATTGGAAATTTGCCTTCAAATGTTAAAGATATGTGAAAAAATGTTGGTCAACAGCTTTTCTCTCTTTGCAAACTGCTTTTTAAAGCGCCCTACATCTTAACAGCAACATGTTCAGTGAGTTTATATGCAGCTGATCCTTTTAGAAGCGGAGCATCAGAGCACCAGCCTGTGACTTAAGAATCATGTTGTGCTTGAGTCATCAGCTTTCACCGAGATGATTAAAAATCTTCAATTGAAATACTCCATGAGTGGATTAAGTAGATTTTAACTGAAGTATAAAATAACTCTTTCATGAGAGAATGAAACTTACCTTTAAGATGTGGGATGTCTGTCGTGTTGGGGTTTTAACAATAATAATGAAGCCTAACAAGTTAACCTCGAGAGGAGAACCAAACTGGATGATGGTGTATTGTATTTTGTGTAATTTACAGCTGATTTAAGACACAGGTCAAAACCGACCTGTTATCATAGGGGGTGCGTAGTAAAAGCTAACACAGGAGGAAGGTTAAAAATGCAGACTCAACTGAAATAGTTTCATAAGCAAAAAGGCAATGAATAACAAAAAACATACCTGTCAAAATCAAAATACAAAAACAACAGAATACTAAAAAGGAACTCAAATTCAGAAATCGGAATGAAGACACTTAGATATGAGAAAAGAAACTCACAGACAGAAAAGAAACTGACCGTGAACCAACACTGAAGGAGAGAATGACAGAGACACTGGGAAACCAGCAACAGGTGGGAAAGACAAGACACAGGTGAGACTAACAGGTACATCCAAAAAAAGGGTATCCTAAATCATTTCCTTTCCTCTTTCTTTAACCCTGATAAATGTGATTAAAACTGCATGACTACCTGTTCAGGTGCATGCGTAGTGCTTAGTGCATGGTGCTTTTGCTTCACAGCGTAAAAGTTCTGGTTCAGATTCCAGCGTTTGCATGTTCTCCTTGTGCATGCATCCCAGAGTCCAAAAATACGCCTGTCAGGTTAATTGATCACTCTGAATAGGTGTCTTCACTGTTGCTCCAGCCCCTGCAACCTTGAATGGGGAAAGGTTAGGGGTAAAGGTAATGGATGGACAACCTATTCACTCTACATTATCCAAAAGAAAAGACCAAGAAAAGGGGGAAAGAATCAAAGTAATAGAATAAAAAGGGATTAATAAAAAGAGTAGGGGGGGTGAGAAAGGGAATAGGCCATTAACAATTAGGCCATTAAATTGATGTGTTATTGAGGTCAGGTTGTGCACAACAACATGCCTTTGCATCCATCTCCATGAGATCATTGAACTATCGACCTTGCACGGAGAAGGAGGTTATGACAAAGCTCCTCCTCATCAGGGCACATTACAGCATCTGAATCAGACAGCCCACACATGCCCACCCATAACGCTAATGTGATGCGGGCAACAGCCAATCACAGGCTGCAGAAACCTACCGCTTTTACTTTCCTATGCGGAGGAGAATCTGTGTAAACGTGCTGCTTTTTTTGACACAAAGGTGCAGATTTGTATCTGCTCTAATCAGCCCACTTCAGATCGGTTTGGTAAAAGAGGTTTTGACAGAAATCCAAGAGTATCATCATTAGCCTTTCAAGGTGATTTCTTATTTGGACAAGTTTTTGACAGGCCGTGTCAGCAGATTTGATGAAAAGTGATGACTGAGATGAAAAAGAATTGGGTTACAGTATCTACAGTGGATAGAGAGGTTGATGGATGAATGCAATGAATAAATAAATAAAAGCAAGAGCAGTGGATCAGGCTTTTGATTGTTTTTGGTGAAATCTGATGTTTTTGGACAGAATATAGTGATCTGAAATTCACCAGATTTGAAAATGAATGTTGTTTCTCTTTTTACAGGATACTTGAAGATACAAATAAATACAAAACATACTGCAGTTAATTGTAACTACATTGCGTGATACTACGTTTCCTATCACAGCACATTACACTACCTAGAGTCCCTGAGCCAGCATCTAAACAGTATTGTGTGTATTTATCTTACATTAGAAAGTCTCACACACACACACACTCACACACTCACACAGGTAAACAGACTTCCTCCTTGTCTCAGCCGGTCAGAACTGTGTTTGGCTTCCTGTGACAGGGCCCAGGGTGAAATACAACACTGCTGAGGTAAATTAAAGAGATGAACGCTCGTGCTCTAACTCACAAAGAGACCATCCCATCTCGCTGCCACCATTCATGTGGCTTTAGGTGTGTTTGTTCATGCAACAAGGTCGTCCAATTAGCCTCCTCTCTCCCTCTCTTCGTCTCTTTATCTTCTTCCATCTCTCTCCCACTTCCTCCGCTTCTCTCTTCTGCAAAGGCCTGTGGGCAGGTGATTATCAGGGACCAGCTCTTCCTGCGATTGCACAGATTTGAAACGAAAGATGACTGTGGCTATCCAGTTATAAGTGATTCCTTCATCTCGGGCACAAAGGCTGGTTGTTTTTGCGGTGACGGGATGATGTCATCAAAGACGCTGTAGGGTCGAGGTGCCCGTCAGTCTCTCCGGGAGCTCTTTGTCTTAGAGCATGACGGACCAAACAATCGCACTAAATTGTGGTTGTTTATTTATTTATATTTTTGGAGTACGGTTGCTTGTTATTGTTCTGCTAATTCAGCACATACATTCATCTGGGCTTACGGCCGTTTTCCTAGACTTTACTCATCCTCAGCACTGTCTTTCCTTAAATCTTTTACTTTGCGGTGTGTAAAACTTTGGTTCTTTAGATGTTTGAAGATAAAAGAGCTACGGCGATCGCCAGCTTTAAAGGGACTCGGTAGATTTTACCTGAGGAATAAAAAGATTTCTCACACCTCAGCTTTGGAAGCCGCAGCTTAAAGAAGGACACACGGGCACCATGCTGGTGAGGTGGGGATTGATTTGAAGTGAAGATCTCCCTTTCAAGCTCCTTTTTACCACAAACACATGCAAACACGCGCGCACAGAATCTCCCGTTCGACACACACACTCACTCACACTCACTCTTAGAGAAATCATTCAGCAGAGACATGTGCAGGTGGCTCAGGAGAGGAGGCAGAGGAGAGTCAAAAGCGTGACTTAAATGAGAGAGAATGACCGCTGGCGCTGCTGTGTGGTGTCGGGGTTTGACAGCAGCCTGAACAGAGGCCACTCTGACTAATTGGGCTAATTTGGCAGCAAGGGAAGAAAAGGAGTCTCAAAGGACCAAGTGGCTACTCTTTTCATCATCTCTCTCGCCTCATCTGAACCCACTCACACTCTCACCAACTCCACGGCTCCTTGGCTTGCTCTCCATTTCACTTTCTCTTTATCTCCCCGTAATAAGCGCTCCTCATCTTCCAATCAAGGGATAGCCGAGCCATCTGAAGTTACCTGTCAAAGCTATCCATCTCACAGATGCGTATGGAGCCACAGCTCCCAGGCGCATTAGAGTTAGGATATGCTGCATGAGGTATATACTTCCTCCAGCTTGATGCTTCTTTATCCTCCTGTTTTTTTTTTCCCCTCCACTACAAAGCTGCCAGCGTGCCCTGCGAGCTCGGTGTTGAGTGAAAGATTAGCATGGCCAAGCCATCTAGTGAAACATGATACAATACAAAAAGATATAAACACACACCCTCCTGGAAAGCAGCACCAAGTCAGAGTACATGCCAAGGAGAAGATAATCTGCTTTGTGAAGGTTCCTCAAGGCAGCGCTCAGACTATTCTCCTCCAATATCAATAAAACACACAGGCAATACATTACAGAGTGAGCCATGTTTGGTGGAGGTGGTGCCTCTCTGAATTTAATGCATTATGGCTCCTCTTCTGGGTTTTGATAGGGAGGATTCATATTATTTTGCTCCTCACTCTGGAGATGAATGATAGTCTATGTGACATGTCTCCAGAATACTCTCCTCTTCCTACTGCCTCCCCTCTTCGTCCTCAGCCCTTGGCACTGGCAGACTCACTGGTCATCTGCACCAGTGGGATAAGGGGAAGAAGGGTGAGTCTGAGACACAACATATGTTATTCGCTTTTCCAATAGTGTGATGCCTCGCAGGGAAATTTGTGCTATCGCATTATGACACAGAAAATGAAAGAGGCTCCATTGTGCCCCAAGATGGAGTACGGACAGCCAGAAATAATATCTAGAATGTAGACATTGGGGGCTGGTGACAGCCGGACTGCATGGAGACATCACAAACAATATATCTGACTTCAACTTCAAAAACAATCATACCAAAGATAGAGAATGATAAAAAAAAAAACAACACTTGCAGAAATGTGTCTGTTTGGAGTCAAAGAGGGATGGAGCGAAAATTACAAATTGAGTTCTTTTGTTCTTCTTTGCTCCTCTGCGTCTGTCATTTTGAATTTGTACATGGATAAAAGAAAAAATTACATATCAATATGAGCAGGAGAATAATAGATGATGTAAGGTTTTGAGATAGGGCTGGAAATCGCCTGGAGCAGATATTCCCAGCCCAAGCCAGTCACAGTTTCTGGCAGATTGTCACTGTTTGCTATTCTTAGTGGTCGCTTTTCTAAAAGGCTAAGGAAGATTAGCCCACTTAACAAACAGACATGGATCTGCAGGAGAACAAATTACTGCATTTAAAGCATTAATTAAAATCACAGCCCATGAACCAAAGAAGCATACAAAAATAAATATGGAGCTAAATGCATCGAGCAAATATTGTCATATGCTATTCTCTCGTCTTCCATGCTTTGGTCATTAAAAAAAGGGAAAGTTCAGAGTTGAACAACATGGCAGTGTGCCCATGCACTTAAAACTGCAAAGGCCGACTGCAGCACCCATGTAATCCATGTATTTATGCACATAAGTAATCACAGCGATAGGACGTACATGTGCTACATGCAGGGATTTCTGAGGATAATCAGTCATAATCACCCTTATTTGCAAAACATGGGGCGTGATGTATATATAACCTGAAATTATTCACGCTCATGTCTCAGAGAGCTTGACACCCGCATTGTGCATACCCCCTTATGATAAGACTATAACACCCTTGAATTTACAATCACTTGAAACACACCAGGGTTAGGATTGTATGTAAGTTTTTGTATGAGTGAAGGATCTTTGGAAGCACAAAGGTGGAGGTCAGGAACTGTTGGCACGCACAAACGTGAAAGAAACATACATGCATACTTCTAAACTCAAGAGATGTATACAGTTCATTATAACAAAATGAAGACATATAGAAGTGGAAATGTAGTTTTTGAAAGGTTATCTAAATGTGCATTTTATTAAAGTACATACATGTTCAAGTCAAACTTTCTTTGAATCTTCCACGTGCATTTTCTGTTTTAGATGCCCTGACTTTACCATCAGCCGCTTCTTAAAAGCCCCACACCGATTTTAACTACTTAAATGTTCTCAGTGGTCTTTAATTTGTGATTATGAAGTTTTAAGCCAAAATCACTGTGTCATTTTCAAGGACTGTTATTCTGCAGAGCTCCAGTAGCTCATTAGAAATTCGCCTTTGAGTCGTGGGTGGAGACAGCACTGCTCTGCACATTCCAATTCATGCTAGCTCTCAGTCTAACCCCCAACTTCCACCACATCCTGAACGGCTCCGATCGGCGGCGATATTTGCTGACCACCAATTCCTACCGGATCTGTTTGTGGATTACAGACAGTGGGAATCACAATCACAAGAACCCGCGGATTCACGAGCAATTGCAGGATAATGAGTTGTCTCTATAAAGACAGTTACATAATTATATAAGTACGGTAGATTGTGTCCTTCCAGAGAAAGAAATCTACTTCTAGACTTCTAGAAATCAGCATCTCCTCACTCATAGAGTCATCACTTGTTCGTCCCCGCGTTTGCAAGGTGTGAAATACAATCCGCCTGAACCACGTACTGTTTTGTTTTGAAAAGAAGCCGGATGTTTTCTTTTGTGTCTGTGCCCGACTTCCTATTCAGCACAGGTAAATCTGTGCGGAATTTATCTGGCATGCTCCGGCATCGGGAAAAAAAGGAACTTTTGTGATCAGCTGCAGAGTCTGGCGATCAGCAACGGAACAGAAAGAAGCCGGTGGAATTTGATACATTAACTTGAATGGTTACGATCAGCTGTGATCAGTGGATAAGGCCATTCCGGATGTGGTGGAAATTGGGGGTTAGGGAGATGATGAAAGTTGATATCATAATTAGCATTCTTACGAGCGTTGTAATCCGCTAACACACACGCTTGTTCCATGATCATCCTCTCTACTTCACAAGTGTGTCCTGCATGGCAGGGCTGCGGGGGCGTAGCTTGTATTTGCTACATAGGAAGTCTCCCTGAATCTGAACCTGCCTTTTGGGTCTGCCGAGATTCACAGCAATGAAATGTAATTCTGCACTTACTTTTCTCATGGTATGCCCTGTAGCATCAGAAAAATGAACATATGAACATGTGACACCAAGAATAACGTGATTTACATCGGAGTGGGTCTTTAAGGTTTGAATTACAAGTACTCCCTTTGCTTCATGCAGAAACTCACATGCAACCAGGTATCCAGATAAGAGGAAAAAATAGAAAATAAATTGGAATCGAATGGACCACCGAGGCACTTTCTAACCCAACACTGAAATAACATGTTTGTGCACTTGCAGCACTTGAAGCAAAGAAGGTCAAGCAGGACTGAAAGACACACAAGGCACGGCAACACACAAGCGCTTCACATAAACACAAGCGGAAGAGGCCCGGCAACAACGCAGGTCATCCACAGCGATCTCAAAGCTGTGCGGCCAGGGTTCTCGCAGCAAGGGAGCCACAGGGCCAGTCAGTCCTCCGTAACAGCGCTGAGCTGCCAAAAGTCTCGTTCGGTGTCACAGCTCTGAATTTAGCAGAGTCAAAGAGGCAGGAGAGGAGGGAAGGAAAGAGTGAGGAAGAGAACCACAGAGAGAACAAACAGAGTGAAAGGTACAGAGAAGTAGTGAAGATTGGTGATTATGTGAGCTAACTTGTCTTTAGAAATGATGATTTCTTCTTCTCTGTGTTCGTCTCTCGCTCTTTTTTCCTTTTGAAAGTAGAGGCTGATGTCCATGATCGCTCACAGGGAAATCAAATGTTTCCTCCGTTGTGTCTGCTTGTAAAAGATCTCCTGCTGCCTTTTCACGCGAAAAAAGCTTTTCTAACAAAATAGACATAAAAGTGTGCTGCGCTTCATTTGCACTTGCCTGAGCAGAGTTTGGCTCCTGGAAGAAAAAAAAGTGGCTGTGTGCTGTGCTGAAAGATAAAAATGGGAAGATCAGGGGAGAGAACTTGGCTGTAGCTCCTGCAAAGATGCAAAGACGGTAAGCGAGGAAAAGTGTTCACTCTCCGAGGGAAGATGCTTCAAGACTAGATGGTAATACAACCCGTATATAAAGCTTCTGCTCCTTTTACCGATACATTATGGTATATTTTAAATCTTTCTAGAGGGAATTCAAAAAGTAAACCATGACTGCACAGAGAGAAAAATAGAAAACACACTCCTCTCCCACCTTTGCAGAGTGATATCATTAGAAAGAGATAATGACCTGGAGTGTGTACAGGCACTGTAACACACACGCACACAAACAGACACACAGACACACACACTCAGCAGAGGCTGCAGTCAGTCCAATGCAGGCAGGTCTGGGTCACCCCCTCGCCTGTCTCCGCAGCGACAAAAGGGACAGATGTGATTGGCCGTGACAGATCCTTGACAAGTAATTGCTCTAATCACTTGGCGGCTCGCGACTGAATCTCAGCCCCGCCCTGCCTCACTTTCTAGATCCTTTTCTCTTATCTCTCTGGTCGTTGAGCTTGTAACAACACCGGTGTGGGTGGGCCGGTTATTACGGCTTCAGACTTGACATGTATACAGAAACGTCTACAGTAAAGGTGATCGGAAAGATCATTTTTCGTCTTCTGTCACTCTCTGTTCACACTCCATCCATCTATCTAGATCTCCTTGTTGCATCTTTCTTCTTCTAGTCGCTCTAGTGAATCTGGTGTGTTTAATTTATTCACTATCAACTCTACAAAGCATATTAGGGCTGACTTATCTGCTTCTGAGACTCTACTGTGCGATATAAAACATTTCCACTGTAGTTTCCAGAGTAGCAACATGAGGTCTAGCTTCCCCAACCATTTCAAAAGACAATAAGGATAAGAAAAAAGGGGAGACGGAGAGGTGTAGTAACTCCACAGCAGAAGCAGGCCAGAAGAAAAAGAGCAGGGCATGCACCAAAAGGGGGTGGGGTGATAGTGATGGGAAAAAATGGGGGCGTCTAAGATGTCCAACCACCCCCTAATTCAAGAACAGCCACCCCCCTGCCTCCCTCATGCTCACACAGACCCACCCACCCTGGGATAAGAGACCATCAATTAGGGCCAGTGGGTCTGTGACCGTCCCTCAGCCTCCCCACCGCTCCACTGAGCTGCTGCTCGACCGGTGCAGCGGAGACGGAGGAGAAGAAGGAGGAGGAGGAGAGGAGCTATAGGTAGGCCTCTTGCTGTCATCTCCACTCATAGGTAGTGCCGCATTCATGGCCCTTAATTATATGTGGGTTGTCAGCACTGGTAGGAAACCCAGCCAGTGAGTGAGAGGGAGAGAGAGAGGGAGAGAGAGAGAGCCGGAGCTGTGTGGGAGAATAGTTAGTGAGATTGGCGAGCGTGGACGAGACAGAGATGACAGGCAGCCTACCCGTTCTGCAACAGCGACGAGTCCTCCATCCGATCCCAGCCACAAACCCACACCCCCCCATCCACCCACTCTGGTGGTATTGTCCCTGGCTTGACTACGACAGTCGACTGGGAAGGTGAGGTGGAGGCTCCCTGTTCATTTCACCGAGTAATGACGGGGCTGTCAGTCACGGTCGTTCACCACTACCCTTCAAAAACCAAAAATCCCCAAAACAGAAATCGATATAATTCAACCCCGTTTATTTTTTGTCTGAGCTGCACTTTGTTACGGCCACTGCACACACAGTCTGGTTGTCTTCAGACAGGTCGTGTCCTGTCTGTTGTTGCTTTATTGGTAAAGCAAATCAAGTTGTTCTCGATTTTGTATTTCTGTTTTACACTTTACTGTCTTTATGGTTTGTGAGTATCTGGTCTTGTTTGAGGTTTCTACCTGTTTAAAGAAATTTTTTCCTGTTTCTTTCACCAAGTATTTCAGAATCAAAATCAGAAAAAAACTTAAATAATCCCCGGGAGATATTGCTATTTGTTTCAGTAACTCCAGCGCAAATAAAGTAGAAAGAGGAGATACACAATAGATAAAATAAGTAAAAATAAATAGATAAAATAAGTAAAAATAAAGAGATCATATACAAGTATGTACACTACAACAAAAAATTTCCCGACTGGATA